GTAATTTACTACACTGCACCACTGCAGTGATTTATTGAACCCAGCAGAGAGGTGGTGGGTGCTGCATGAGGAATAAGTTGGTGACAAGGCAAGTGAGAGGGTTGGAGGGTGGCAGCATGTCTGGCCTCCTAAGAACAGGCCTTGGGCTGCTGATGGTGATTCTGTCTTCCTCTTGTGGAGTTAGGGAAAGTCAGAAGATGCTGCCTCCTCACCCCTTTAGCAGTAATATTAACTAAAAGTGAGCTTTGACTGCATCTTTCATTTTATATTATTTAAAAATTCTAGGCATGAATACCAAACAAGAATTTTTGTTGCTGAGGGAAATGTCACATATTTATTCCACACTGAACTCAATATTTGAGTGAATGAAGGCAAAGACTTAGTTCAACAAGAGAAGAGAAAGCATTTTCCAAATTTTTACAATGCTCTCCTAATACTCTTAAATTATTCCACTTTTCAGACTATAGTATAAGGCTGAATATCCTCATTTTTTTTAAGTACAGTGGCCAAAAATCAGTATCACACACCAAAAGAAATATAAGGTAAAGTGGTTAAGTTTGTATGTCAACTTGGCTGGGCCTGGTTGAGTGGCTGGGCAGTTGGTGGTAGATATTCCCCATGATGAGACTGGCTATCAACTTCATGGTGGGACCTACCACAAGCAGCTGAGTAGCTGCTTTGGTATGTGGTCTGCTTCCCGTATATAACAAACAGCTTTGGGAATGGTCTCTAGCTTATGGCATGCCTGAACCCTGCATGTAGCCGTGTCATTGTTCAGCAGCCTGCCATGCACTGCCGACCTCGGGACTTTCAATGGGCTTGAATTAATGGTCTGCTATGTGGTTTGGTAATAACGGGACTGTGTTTTTTTAATTTTCAACTTTGGGCTTGTCAGCCTCAACAGCCAGCAGCTGTCTGAGTGAAGAAAAGCCTCTAACTCCATTGGGCTGGGAGTAGGAGGCAGAGCTGAAGCCAAGGTTGAGGGGCTTTCACCCAGTCCCTAGAGACTGGCACTTTGAACTTGGACTTAAAGCCTCCAAAGTGTAGGAGAATAAACTCCTGTTTGTTTAAGCATCCCATTTGTGGTATATTCTTGTCAGAATGGCACTAGGTAACCAGAACAGTAATTTTGAGTAAATACACTGATAAATGGCATAAAAGGGCACATAAAACACATTTCCATCTATATGAAACTATAGTTATAGTCTGACCTGCACATCAGGAAGGAGAAGGCACAGGAGGGGGATAGAAAGTTAATTCCACTGAATCAACTCTCCTTTTCAGTTATTTGATCCACAAAGTCTTTAAATACACATTTTTTTTTTTTTTTTTTTCAAAATGACACTCTAACCCCACTGGTCCTAGTCATCTAAGCTTTATTGGCTAGGTTGAGGTTTCACTTCCATTCTGTATAAACATCAGTATATCTGTATTTCATTGGATTTGAGATGATATGGAAGATCTGAAATAGGGTGGGGGTGGGGTCTCCTGTTGATCTTATATTACAGAGAAAAAAAATGAAGACTTGGGACTACCAAGTGACCAACTCTGATTTTGTTCTTTTTCCTAATTTTATAGTGACCAATTCATGATTTTATAATTTGAACTGGAGACACAAAAGACCTATACAAAGGAAGCTACAAGAAATCAAGAGACCTATATAAATGGAAGACCATACCATGCTCATAAGGAGCTCTGCTGGCATAATAGGTAAGGAATTTATGTAACCAGAAGGTCAGTGGTTCAAACCCACCAGTTGCTCTGTGGGAGGAAGATGAGGGAAAGATTCACAGCCTTGGAAACCAGATGGTGGTCACTATGACTCAGAATTGAGTTAATGGCAGTTGAGTTTATACCATGCTCATTTTTATGACATCATGAAAATATCAATACTACTCAAAGCGATCTAAAGATATAATACAATCTCAATCCAAATTCTATCACCATCTTTAAAGAGATGAAAAAACTAATCACCAACTTTAGGAAAGAGATTCCAAATAACTAAAGCACTACCAAGGAAGAACAACAAAGTAAGAGGCCTCACATTCCCTGTTCTCAAAACCTACTGCATAATCACGGTAGTTGAAGCAGCCTAGTAGGGGTACAGTAACAGCTACACAGACTAGTGGAACAGAATTGAGAACCCAGCTGATCTTTGACAAAAGGCCAAAACTCATTAAATGGTGAACAGATAGTTTCTTTAATAAATGGAGCTGGCAAAACTGGATATCCTTTTGCAAAAAATCAAATAGGATCCATCTCTCACACAACATACAAAAATGACCTCAAGTGGGATCAAAGATCTAAATGTAAAACCTAAAATCATAAAAGACTATCAAAGAAAACATAAGGACAAACTTAGGGGCCCTAATTCAGGGCATAAATATACTACTGAATGTAACTAAAAATGCACAAACACCAGAAGATAAAATAGATTTTGGAGACTTCCTGAAAATTAGAGATATCAAAAGATTTCACCAAAAGAGTGAAAAGAGAACCCACAGACTGGCAAAAATTTTTTGGCAGTAACATATAGGATAAGGGGTTAATCTCTAAAATTTTTAGAAAACTTCAGTACCTTATAATTACAAAAAGACAAATAATCCAATTAAAAAATGGGCAGTGAACATGAACAGACACTTCACCAAAGATAACATTTAAAAAAACACTTGTTGTTGTTGTTGTTTGCCGTCGAGTTGGCCCCGACTCATAGTGACCCCTCCTTGGGTTTCCGAGGCAGTATCACTACGGAAGTAGGATTGCCCAACCTTCCTTCCGAGGAGTGGCTGGTGGGTTTGAACTGCTAGCCTTCTGGTGAGCAGTCAAGTGCCTTAGGCACTATGCCACCAGAGCTCCTCCCCATTAGCCATCAGAGAGATGCAAATTAAAACAACAATGAAATATCATCTCACCCCAGCACTAAACAATAAATTCTGGTGAAGGTGTGGAGAGACTGGAACCCTCATACATTGCTGGCAGGACTATAAAATGGTGCAATCACTGTGGAAAATGGTATGATGCTTCCTTAAAAAGCTGGATATAAAATGCCATATTATCCAGCAATCCCACTACTAGGTATGTATCTAAGAGAAATAATAGCTGTGACACAAACAGATATATGCACACCTATGTTCATCACAGCCCTAGTCACAATAGTAAAAAGATGGAAACAACCTATATGCCCATCAACAGAGGAATGGATTAACAAACTATGATACATATACACAACACTATGCCATGTTAAAGAGCAACGATGAATCTGTGAAACAGCTCATAACATGGATGCACTTAGAGGCCATTATGCTGAGAGAAGTTAGTCAATCACAAAAGGATAATATTATATGAGACCACTGTTGTAAAAAGCCAAGAAAAAGGTTTCACAAAAAAGAAATAGTCTTTGACGGTTGGGTAGGGGGGACAGATGGGATGGGATGAGGGTAGACAGAGGGACCATTAAGACAGTAGACACATATTACCTTGGGTGAAGGGAAAAAAAGCAAAAAAGCAGAGAATTAACTATGATAATGACAGGGATTGAGATGATCCACTGTGGTCAAAACAAAGACGAAACCCTGTAACTGTGTTCTAATTGACTAGGTAAATCTACACTGTATGTTAATCTGGCTATTTTTTTTATGATGGCTATGATAATGAAAAACACTTTTCAGGTAAATCAGAATGTAAAAAAATGCATTTTTTAGAAAAAAGAATATAGGCACTTACACTATCATTTTCATTGTTTCAATAATTCCATACATTATACGAACCTTTAAAATGGAAAGTGGAAGAGATTTTGTCTTCAACAAGTGTGCGACAAGATGAAATAAATTAGAGAAATTAGTAGCTGGCAAATTTTCTAAATCCCGAAATTTGTCCCATATGCCGAATTGAAAAGTCATCTAACCAAAGAATTAGAAAGAAAAAAAAAAAAAGTTAATGCATCAAATAATTACAATATATTACTAAGAATGTTATCTAAAGGTATTTGATTCCTTATGAAATACATAATGAGTAAATTCACTTATTTTTAATATTCTACAAATCAAGACTTTTAAAAGCAACTGAAATTTCCCTTCCTATAGATAGTAGTTTATATTTTCACAATAGTTTCTTTCTGTTGAAGTTTTTCCTCTCAAATCAGCAGATACTAAAAATACTGGTTGAAAGGCATTTGTGGATAAAGTTACATTAGAAATGAATGGTGCAGTATACAACCAGAAGAGGAACTCAAGTTAACTTAGCCATGAAACGTACTTCATTTGTGATAAGAAAAGTATTATACAGCAGACATTTTGGATGCACAGCCAGCAGGGCTGGCTGTGCATCCAAAATGTCTACTATATAACATAATACTTTCTACTGATTATGCCCACCTGATGTGGAGGACAGTCCAGAGACAATTGATAGAACCATGTGACTATGCTTCACTGGACACAGCTCTCTGGAATAGAGCAGACTACTGACTCAGGGAATTAATTTTTAGGTGGGGTGAGTGAGACAGTATGTTTAGAAAAAATAGCAGAGCATACAAACTGGTGGCCTTCTCACTAGCAATTTACCTGAAATTTCCTCTCATATTCACAAAACTTGCTGGCCAAAAATGCATAAAAAGGATTATACGTTTTCTCTTGAAGGCAGCAATCCATGAGAACATGAACTATTTCTCTCTCCTGCTGATCCTTAAGTCCAAGCCTATAAAACAGAAACAGCAATAACTAAAAAAATAAATAGCATTCAGGAGGTGGGGCAAGATGGCGGACTAGGCAGAAGGATTGCACAGACCCTCTTCAACAAAGAAAAGGGAAACCAATTAACACAGACACAGAAGATAATCTTGG